ATATATATATATATATATATATATATATATATATATATATATATATATATATATATATATATATATATATATATATATCATAATTATATTGTTCTATCTAATTTGATAAGATATATTATCGATATGATTGGATTCTGATAATGATTATTGACCAATAGAAAAGAATTATCCTAATTATTTATTTTAGACCCTTTGTTCTCCTTTATAAATAGACAAGACTTGTTAGTAACTCAAACACAACAAATAACACACAATAATTGAATACTGAAATACATGGAATCGAGAAATTATAGATTTTCTCTCATGTTCTTTTTAATAATGGCTCTATAAAGGATATAAAGAGGGGATAAAGTGAGTCTAGTTCTCTTTGTACATTGACATCACTATAAAAGCTCGTAATAGATCAAATAAAGAATTTATCTGAATAGCATCAAAGTTATATGTCGTAATCATTAGATTTATTATTATTTAATTTTAAATTTTAATATTAAAATATTTTTACTTAATGATAACATATTATGATTTTTATGCTCATATCTCATTCATACGACGCGATTAGCTTCACAGAACTGAATTAGTCTACTAGTTGGCACGACATTGAATGCTACATCAAATGAGATTTAGATGACATGTTAACTATGATGATATATGATGATGAGATGTCGATAACCATCCGCACCTCATAATCATAAATATCATGGCAATCTGGAAAAACGAAAAATGATGAAGTACTTTTCATCTTCGCACAATCAAAATAAAGACTCATATAATATTAAAATTTATCCCATATTCGTATATAAATCAAATAATCTGATTGATTGATTGATCGATCGATCGATCCACCGTCCTCACCAGCGACGCAGAGATTGGAGGCTTGGCCGAATGCTGTCGGGTCCTTGTGACAACTTTTGTTGCTCCGCTCGTACTTCACCTTAGCCAATAAATAAATAAATAAACAAAAGTAGGCGAAAGCTCTACTCGAGGACAGATGATTGACGATTCCTAGGCTCACACTCCTCGTCTGGAACACTGCGGGGAGGGCAACCAGTCCAATTGGACCCCCCGAATCAGCACGACCCGCGGCTTTACAGAAGGTCACGAGCTGGGGTTGCCACTTCCGGCCATTACTCGTCCGACACGCATCCACGAACCGCCGACGAACTCGGCTGCGGATCCGGCGGAGCGTCGGCTCCACCCACTACAACCGGTTCAAAAGGGAGCGTTCCACATGCCCCACCTTCTTTGCTTTTGTCTTGAGATAAAAAATGTTGTCGAACGGTTGGTTCAACCAGGAAATGATGAAATATTGCTTCGTATCATGTTGTTTTTCCCATCACACTGTGCACGGCGAAGTTCTAGCGACAGAAGAATCAGTGAGGCAATTGGTCAAACACCTGGGAGGCACGGGCGAGAAGCGGAGTCCGAGTCCCGCTCCTGAGCTCCATCTTAGTCAAAAAGGATCCGCGGATTCGCCTGCAAAAGAGACTCGAAGCTTTTGGCGAAACATACCCCCATCTTAGGTGGATCGATAGAGCAGAGCAAATTGCGCCGAGGCCACGTTGTTCTGTCGAACGAGTCCGCTGCACCGGGCGAGTACTGAGGCAGCACTGGCTCCCCCCCTGACACGACCGAGTCCTACCCAGCTTGGCCAATCCCATTCTCGAATCAGCTGGTGATCAAGTAAAATGACAAATCTATCCTCCTGCTTCGACTTTCTTTAGCTGTTCGGGGGTGACCTTATGCATCTTGTGGCCAGCGAAAGCTAGTGTGAGAGAGAGAGAGGAGCAATGCTCAACCCTATGATCTCCTTTATCCTGTTCTTTTTGCTATCCTCGCCATCCTTTCTCGCCTCCTGTGGATCCGAGGCTGTTGATCCTCGCCCGCGGGCGCTCCCGTCCTTCAAGATCCAAGAAATCAAGGTACAGTTGATTATTTGCTTTTGCTGTTTAAAGAAGAAACCTAGCTTTTGTTGCTCGAGAGGTTGCTTACATTTGGTCACTGTTTTGGCGCTTCCTTAAAGGAGGAGATTGGGAGTGCGTGCTCCTACACCGTGAAGATAAAGACCAGCTGCTCTTCCGGCCGCGTCACCTCGGACAGGATCAGCCTTGCTTTCGGCGATGCTTACCGCAACGAGGTATTTTATCTATGATTCCTTTTCCTTTTGATGAAAAAAGTTAAATTTTCTTTACACCCTTTTCTTCTATGCGGTTTTAATCTCTGCTAAATTGCTTGACCTGTAGAAAAGATCATCTTTTTCGATTCTCAAAAATCTTCTTGTCTCTACTGAACTAATTTTATTGATAAATCGAAAAATATAAGTGTATAGCATTTTGCAATCATTACTTAGGGTTTTCTTACGAAATTTAGGGCTACTAGTCAAAACAAACTTGGAATTTAGGGAAAATAGGTTAAGCACAATGAATGAAGTCAGCAAACAAATTAATCCACAAATCTGCAGAGATGAAGGAGAAAATTTCCCAGTAGCATCCAGACACTTGAAATTTGAATTTACTCAAGAAAATTTTAGCAGGTTAAGCTTACTTGATCAATTACAAGGATAATTCTCTTATGAAGGGAAGACTCAGGCAATTAGCTTTCTGATTGAGAATGAGATTGGCTTAGGAACCGTCGTCCAAAGGATGAGATAATCAAGTTCTGTTGAAGAGCCTCTTTTCTTTGGGCTTTTCTTAAAAAATTGTTCAATAGAAACATAGACACCAACATGGTAATGAGGAGTAAGAGGGTTTGCTACGATGATACTGATAGCGTATCTTTAAGAACAGAGAACAAAAGAAATCTTAGCATGTGAAACAACATAATGACAGATTAATTCTGTGTGTTTCTGTTCTCCAAATCTGTCATCAAAATCCATGCTTCATGTTGAGAGTATACAGCTCATGAAGCTCACCGGTAACTTGCAGGCTCATTAGTTTAGCGTATGTTTTCCTCCTTATTTGTGCCACTGTGACATTCTTGGTGTATGTATCTTTTCTATTGGGCTAAAGCCCACATGTTCTGGTCCTTGCATTTCATGCAGGTTTCAACCATATCTTAGGCCCACGATTCTATTAATATATAATTAATTAAACATAAAAGGTAATGTCTTTTTACTTCAAATGAAAAAAAATTAGGCTTCAAGAAGCTGCTCCATTTACTAGCATAATTAAAGTAGTTTGGCGCGTAGTAAGCTGCCTTCACAATGAAACATTTTGATTTTTTTTCTCATTTTGAGTATCTATTTCTTTTAAATTAAATAGAAAAGTGTCCTAGGGTGGTGGTGGTCTTATGTTGGTGATTCTGATCTCAGAGAACTCTAATGTTGATCAACAAAGAGCAGAATCTAACAAAAGCATGAGTCAACATTGCTTACAAGTGATTAATTGAAAAAAAAATGGAAGTTATCAAAAAAAAAAAAAGAGAGTGCTAATTGTGGCATTAGAATAACCAATAAAACCTGTGTGAATATGCAACATTCAAAATACCACTCTAAGCATGGCCAGACAACACCAAAATATTGGTTATAAACTGTACAAATCAACTTATGTACAAAATAATTGATGCAATTAGCAAGGATTTTAGCAAAGATCAAGAGATAAATGTTAAAATTCTGAAATCTGAATGATGCTATTGATTGGACTGGAAACAGCTAGCAAATCTAGCAAATTTTTGGCAAAATGGGACTCAATAGACTGATTGATTATGTTGTTTGTGATGGAAACAAATGTTAACTGTTAACATACAAAGAGAAAGGCTAAAAATTTCAGCACAACCTACCCGGTAGAGGCACTGGATGATTTCCCAACACAAACGTTAACTGTTAACATACAAAGAGAAAGGCTAAAAATTTCAGCACAACCTACCCGGTAGAGGCACTGGATGATTTCCCAACACAAACGTTAACTGTTAACATACAAAGAGAAAGGCTAACAATTTCAGCACGTTAACTGTTAACTCAATGATTTCCCAAGTAGCAAAAATGGCAGTGCCAATACAACTTATAGGATAGGCTTCTCCTTCATTTTTTTTGGTTGATTCTGCAAATGTTTCATGATTCAAACACCAAGGGGGAGTGCTAGGATTGATGGTAGAGAGCCATAGATATTCATCTTCTTTGTTACTTGATTTTCTCAACGACTTCATTAAAATATTCTTTAACCAAGAGTCAATAAAAAAATTTATGTCTGCCATAAACTTTCTCAAATATTTAGTCGCACTCAATATTGATTTGATTTGTAGATTTGCCTTAAGCTTTGTTGATGAGTATCACATAAAACTGCCACACCAATTCTTCATATTGTTTATTAACCTACTAGTAAAATTCCATCATAGTACTATGTAGTACTTTTTGAACTATTTCTTGTTTTTTTCCTCTAAATCCTTTCTTGATCTGATCAAGTAGTCCTACATATGCACTTATTAGATGACTTCTATTTTAAAATTTTCATCTATATTTTGATATCAATATACAATAATGCCCATCTTGGTCCTACACAACAAAGTTTATCATCAATTCTTATATTGTTTTGCTGTCAAGGTATATGCACCAAGGTTGGATGATCCATCATCAGCAGTGTTTGAACGTTGCTCCACCGACACATTCAAGATCCAAGGGCCATGTGGCTACGGAATTTGCTACTTATATTTGCGACGAGATGGTTATGATGGGTGGACACCGGAGTGGGTCAAGGTCTATGAGCCCCGTGCTACCCGTGCCATCACCTTCTACTACGGTACACCGCTCCCCAATGGCATCTGGTATGGCTTCAACCAGTGCCCCAAATCATCCTCTTCTGACCGCATGATGCAGATCTGATGGTAAGGATGTCAAACTTAGTAGATAATTCTGCATAGCTGTCAAAAGTATTACTACTACTGCATGTTCACTAAAGACTAGGATCAATATTTTGATCTTTACACATTACCAGTATTATCGCTAAAACCAGTCTCAGGATTTCTATTTGTCGTTATGAAACACTTGCTTTATATACACATGCTTAGTTAACTTGGTATTCCTATCCCCAAAGGAATGAGATTTAGACAGGTTTAGATAGAAACACTGAGGGTTGAGGGGTTGCGGAAGTTGTCTGCAGTGCCAGCATCCCCTGGTGAAAAGAACACGAGAAAGGTTACTGATTATGGTGTTGAACTAATCTTTAAACTTTTCCTAAATCGTCACTAATTACATTCATATTAGTTGTGATGCTGACACAAAAGTTTAATTCAGCTACATCATTTCGCCATAAGCTGATGTTTTAATATGATCGCAGTGATCAACCTATGTAACCACTAATAGAATAGACAGTTGTCTACCAATGTTTTAATATGACCATGGATTGTATCCATAGCAATCCAAGTTGACAACTAGAGGGCCAATTAGATCAATGTGGTGCTAAGTCCAGAAGAACATTTGAGGATTCCAGTGAAAACATGTTTAATATGAACATTATATCTATCCGAACATATTAAATATGGTACATCAAGACCTTCTTGGCATCCAAATCACAGTTTGTTTGATGATCCATAGAATATATGACCTTTCGGAAGGGTGAAGTAGCAAAATGGTCGACTGGTAACCTTATAATGGAACCTCAAATCAGATCTAGAGTGTGTCTGTGTGTGTGTGTGATAATATTGTAGAGTAAGATTTGGTTTTTAGGTCAGACATCAAAAGAGCCTGTGTTGTGGATCTAACTAATTCTCCCATCTTAATGTGCATAGGTTGTCAGCCAATCTTAGATCCTATACAGCATCCACTACTGTGCTTGGAAAAGATCTAACCTAAACAAAATGCCACCAAGATTGAATCTCCAATATTTCTACTTGGAACTTTTATTTTCTCCAGCCATAGTGAGGTCATGTCCAGTTCTATTTCTCATGCACATATGCAAGTGAAGTCATATGCATGCACATGGTTGGTGGTTGCCACTTGCCCTAACTCATCACAGGAAAACCCAGCGCAATTATCGTTAACTACAAGATCTATGTTTCCATAGAGGCTAAAGATGCTCATGGGAAGGTCTTCTTGCTGTTCTTTGAGATGCATGCACGAACCCATGATTTAATACATAACATCACGATCATTTGGAAGTGCATGTATTTGGTCGTATGTCAGTGGTGAACATAACTCTCAACTTTATCAAGACATCGTGACTTGATCATAAGTAAATGGAAGCTAAGACAACTATCTCTTCTTGATTGGTTGCACGCTAGGAATCCACATGGGAACACCACAAAACATGATGGACTACCATGTCACTTCATGTCCAAAATAATTTCCTTTTGCTTCCTATCACTCTTACATGCTTATCAACCACTCAAACTTGAAGACACCTTCTAATTGTTGTTGGAATATAAAGAAACACCCAGGCATTAATTATCTGCCCTTCTCTCGACCTCAGTTTATCATGCGGATCTTATCATTTTGAATTAGATCAACCTTGCCATGGATTTTATAAGCTTACACGTCCATGTCACGAACAGGGGTTCGATGTATCCAAATTTGTAACGAGGGCCTGCATGGATCTATGAATGTCCAAGTTTTATGAAGTTTGACTTGAAATGTTGTAGGTAATAATTAAGAATAAGAGAAGGTGAATATAACAGAAAGTTCTATGCATTTTTCTCTGAGCCAAAAAAAATAAGAAGAAATATGCCATAAGAATTCGACTGTTAAATCCGAGCCCGAATCGGGAATAGGACATGCAGAGTTAAAAATATCTACGTTTAAATAGTGTTGGAAATTTAATATGGTGCTTAGAATATGGAATCCTCTAGATATCGTGTAATCTAGTTGGATCCACGTGTCGTGGTCACATGCATGATCCACGTCAGGTTGCACCACCTGTCGTCGTTTTGGATTGGGGCGAGGAAGTGGACCCCTACGTCCATGTATATGTACAGCTCGCAAGCGATTGCCGTTCTTCGTCCACCTCGAAGCGCACGTCCAGTGCGTTGCTCTCTGCTCCTCGGTTTCACTGCTCTCAGCTCGTTCTCGTCTCTCTGCATCTGATTGTCGAGAAACAGAGAAGAAGGGAGATGTTGGGCGCTAAAGGTGGTGCGCTGCCGCTGGCTTCCTTGAACCATATCTCCATCGTTTGCAGATCAGTGGAGACGTCACTTGATTTCTACCAGAATGTGCTCGGCTTCCTCCCCATCCGGAGGCCCGGATCCTTCAAATTTGATGGTGCCTGGTAAGTTAATTTTCTTGCTCACAAGTAGAGAGAGAGAGAGAGAGAGAGAGAGAGATGCGCAACTGGAGAAAGCATGATCACTTTTCTCGTGATGCGTAGGCTGTTTAACTATGGAATAGGCATCCACTTACTGCAATCTGAAGACCCCGAGAAGATGCCGAGGAAGAGGGAGATCAATCCCAAGGACAACCACATCTCCTTCCAGGTAATTGAATCGATGACCTTTGTTTTATATACTGTACTTTATACCTCCTTTTCTTTCTAGTGTTATTTGCGGATGTATTAGGAGATGATGCACACTGTGTTCCTTAACCAAAAGACTCAGCACACATTCTTCCGTGGCTTCATCTTCACATACTCCCCCACCCTTTCTTCTTTCCTTTTTCTTTATGGTCGTACCAGACGAAGCTATTGACTACAGCGACCAGCCATCAATACCGCTATTGATTTAGCAACCAAGTTGTAATCTGCCATCAATAACATAGGACCACTTGAATGTACATAAAACATGCCCTTATTTCATTCACTCTCCTACGAAACACTGAAGTACTTGCAAGTTGGAAGAAGCGCATGCATGCGTGCTTAAGCTATATGAGGACAGCAGAATATAGCTCAACTTCTACTGCATAAGTTGCTTACCATTCATTTGTGAGCAGTAGAAGATGAATCAGTGTCGGAACAACTCAATTTTGTAAGGGAGATTTATCTTTTGACTTAGACCATGTGTGAAATTGGAGCTTAGTGAGAGCTTCACAGTAAGCAGCATTCGACATGTTTGCGAAAATGACTCCTGCGCGAGTGCTGCGACACACACAGCTCATAGAAATGGTTGGTCGCTAGTCCTAATCAATGACTCATGCTTTGTCTTCTTACATACCAAGCAAATAGATCTTATCACCGAGAGTCTTGTTCCTTTGTGAGCACTGAAAGAGAAGTGTAAAAACATGAAATGACCAAGTTAGCTACGCTTGTTGATCCATCCAGTGCGAGAGCTTGGCCTTGGTGGAGAAGAAGCTGAAAGAGATGGTCATACCTTACATCCAGAATCGAGTGGAGGAAGGTGGGATCTACGTGGACCAATTATTTTTCCATGACCCGGATGGCTTCATGATCGAGATCTGCAACTGCGAGAACCTCCCGGTGATCTCACTTTCCGGGGAACCCATTATGGCCTGCAAGAGAGTCGTCAGCTTCACTCCGCAGCAACAGCAGCAGCAACAGTATCTCCCGCAAGCCATCCATGTCAAGGAGGAGCCCTGCGCATGAAGAAGAATGATCGAGCATCTCCTCCATCTCTTTCGGTTTGCTTGCTTTAGTATGTATGGTGTTCTGTCGCCAGGACGACATGGCTTCTTGTGCCTTGGCAACTCGTTTTGTAGTAGCAATAAGGCCCAGATGTTGACTCTTTTTGTCTCATCGAAAGGCTTGTAGGCATGATGTCGTATCAGTTTTATGTGGACAAGCGTGAACCACAGCCAGTTGTGACTAATTTGTCGAGTTATGCTCATCGTGTTGTTGATGAGAACGTAAACGTACGGCTGCATCTTATTCTTTCGACGAGGTTGACAGCAATCACGTTACGCAAAGTGCGATTGGCAGTGGAGGAGTCAGTGATGGGATCGTTTCTGCCGACATTGGTCGGTGCTCGGCGATGGTCTATTATCCTGCAAGGATTCACCGGCAACTCCCGAAGAGATGGTCAACTATGGGCTAATAGATGTTACAGTTGATACATGGCCTTCTAGTGGATCGAGCAATTTAATGGGCAGAATCCATTAGGTCCAAATCTGAGCAGTCTGATGATCTAACATCAATTCAATCGAAAAAATATTTCTAATCGGCTCTCTCAGTTTTTACTCTAATCATATATTTTCTTTCAATCTTCAACTCATACATCAACATTCTACTAATAACATTATGTCTATCGAAAGGGGAATCCAATCAAGAAAATAAATAGACAACCAATGGGGAGAGAGAGGTGAACTGTCATGCCACAATTTATATACATACATACATGATTGCCATTCCTATAGTATAATTACCGCCTTCTCGGCTTGAATCGATTAGCAGAGCGGTTCTGGCTGAAGAATCCACAGCAAAGGCAACGAGGGACGTCGGGAGAAGGTGGGTCGGCGGCCGGCGAGACAAAGCCTGCAGGGAAGACGACCTGCCTGCTGCCACCGTTGCTGCTTCTGCGTCCCATGTTTCCCGTCGATCCCATGCTTTTGGAGTGCCTCATCGTCTCTTCCTTGAATCCTGCAACTCCCTCCTCCTCTTTCTTCTTTATCCGACTGAGGTCCCCCGGCAAGAAGTTCTCATCCCACACCATCCCTGATGATCCTGACCTCCTGAACGTTGTTACAGATCTTTGCAGCCTAGCCATGTTTCCTCTCTCTCTCTCTCTCTCTCTATCTATCTATCTATCTATCTATCTAGATATGTAGTTCTCAGATGAGATAAAACCATGGGAGGTGTGATCTGCCAACATATAGAAGAAGGCTGAGGAAATGACAACGTTGACATTGAGAATTAATGTTCGTATTATCTTATTGTAGCATTAATAATAATTTCAGTGACGTGTACTGATACAACTTCATTGGTTGACCACATTATAAGTTAGGTTGCGTTAAGCAACTAAAACAACATCCAGCCAGCCAAACTAAACATTTAGATCGTATAGAAAAGGTAAGGATGTAATGGTTTCGTGTGCTCCAAAGCTTATGCTTGCTATGTCCAAGACGTTCTAAATTCCAACTTGACAACCTGGAGGGCATATGAACGGGAGACTGGCCTCCTCATCCCAACATGTTACCAAGATCGATCGGTTCGTTGACCAAACCAGCGGCTATCGAGAGGCTGGTTATTGTTTCTAGTTCAGTGATCTGTCCAAAGAAATTACTTCAAAGTAACTGCACGTATCTATTATGTGGAATGAGTGTTCATCTGGTGAATCACCATCCGTTATTCTGGCATGCCAAGAAATATATTTAACGAACTTAAGCCTAGAGAGAGAGAGAGAGAGAGAGAGAGAGAGACGTGTATTCTTCCTGTTCCAAAGAAAAGTTACCTTCATGATGACCTTGCGTCATGATGCCCATTTTCGAAGACATACATAGACAACCCATGCAGAAAAAGTACTGCAGCAACACATGTTGTGCAAGCATGGTTAAACTTGTAGGAACAACAGAAGGGTGCGAAGTAAAACTGAAGTAATAACTTGAGATAGAACTGGTGTATCATGTTGTCCTCGTTGTTCTCGGTTTGTCATCTTGCCTCTCTATCTCTGTCTCTCTTGACTTGTCCTGAAGCTTAGGCTCCTAGCCAGAGATTGCATTAAGGTACGTCTTAGTACATCAATAAATTTAATACGGGATCATTGTATGAGAATAATGTTGATTGATTCCTATGAGGAAATAAACAATTACCGCATCCCTTTGGTGCCTTGCATCGATAACATTCCCTTCTGCTAGCGAAGTTGTGATGATTGCAGCCCGACCTGCATGCCAAAGAATCGAACATGCACAAAATATTATAGTAATATGGATAGACGGCGAACATGTCGACGTGAAAGAGAGATCAAGAAAGTGTGGAAGGGAAGGATACCTGGTGCACAACCAGTCCCCGGACTTCCAGCCGCCGCCACCGTAGGTGATACCTTGTGAGCCTGCCATTTCACTATTGTCGAATCCGCCGATGACGCCGACCGCGGATTCATCCCTGAAGGCGCCACACGAGTGGCAGCTGGATCGGCTCGCAAAGTTATGACCGCCGCATGAGCAGTACCAGTCTCCGGGCCGGACGTCCGAAACGACGCCGAACGAGGATCCTCCGCGACCGCCTCCGAGGCCGGCGTAATCGGAGAAGTCGCCGCTGCACAACCTGGGGTGACCGCATTGCTGGCAGGAGTCACGCCTGCTGAAGTTGTGGTGCTGGCATAAACTGCAGTTCCAGTCTCCTGCCCGCCTGCTCATCTTCTCAACTCCTAACATTTCATGATATCTACTTCTCAGAAATTACCAACATAATCTAATACTTCCACTTTTATAGTAACTACTGTTACTTGGTATATACATATTAATTAGCTTACTAGTGGGGATTAAGTGCGTAATGGAGGATGAGCATAACACCAAGTTTGGAGTCGATCAGAAACTTTTCTGAACAAAGAAATTAACTCACATTTATCTATAGGAAGGACCCGACAAAAAAATATTTGCATATATCCAAGAAATAGTATATATATCTTAAGGTATACATAAATAAGCTTTTCTTATTGTACGTACGTAGGTATGTAGGCTAGAGAAGAGAACGTACGGTGGAAGAGGAAGAAGGCGGCATTAGGTTACCTGATCGATAAAAGGTGAGACAGATGAAGAGCAGGGGATAAGGAATAGGAGACGAGATGAGGCGACTCGGTGAGGGGCTCTGCCGCTGTTGTTCTTTGGGTGGATCGGTGTGGCTTTTATACATGCTTGGACCTCAATAATTGAGAATTGTGTGTGTGGAGTGTCGGGGATCGATGTTCTTTCACTTCCTCTCCTTTTTTTTGTGCCTTTTCGCACTGTGCACTCACAATTGAGTCGCTGAAAACATGAAGCGAAGATAAGAGTATCGGCCTCGAGACAAACATTTGTGTGGGAACCTGTAAATAGCTTGCGCTGTGAAGCTAAACCATGATAGGAGAGAGGAACATCTCAGCCCCTCTCTCTCTCTCTCTCTCTGTCAACTTTAATGATTCTCACCCTACAAATCTTCTGTAAAAGGACTTGAAATCTCAATTATTACCCATACACAAATATTCTTTGTTGGCGATTGGTACATATCATTTGGGGCAGCATACAAAACGAGGGTTGTCATATTCTTCTGATAATTATGAATAGAAGACATGGACAGTGTAAGCATTAGTTTAGAATAACCATGTCTTTCTAAGAAGCATGGACATCTATACTTTAGAGCGCCAGTTACAGTGTAACCATGTCTTTCTAAGAAGCATTAGTTTTGAGCGCCAGTTACAGTCTCCGCCGTAGGCGAAGAAAGGATGTGCCTTCCCCGGGTAATGCTGCCTCCTGCTACTTATACTGCAATCATTTCGGAATGACTTAGCTTTGTTGTGCAGATATGTCAGGCTCCACCCGTAGCCAAGAATCAATTCCCATGCGGGCATGCAATACCCCATTCCATTCCCTCGAGTCATCATCGCATTTGGCGTCCCTTCAACACTAATTTAAAAGGTCATGGATTCACCTTTGGAAGCTCAGAAACTCAAATTGTTTGCATTGCTCAGCTTCGCTCCCTGCTGCTGACATCGTTCACAAATCTAAAAAGACTACATTTACCTATCCTTAAGATGAAACGGTGGTGTAGCATTATCTCTGTGTCGAGGGAGCTGTGGATGCATGCCCATATGGCATCAGGAGCATGAAGCCATACTGTGGAATCAACATGCAGCATCAACTGTTGCTGTCTTCGTGTTAACCTAGGATTGGCTTACAAGGAACATGAAACACATACATGTACAGTATGAGCAGACAGTGTGAATATTCCGCTCACCAATTATAGCTTTGAAAGGTGACGACCCACATCCTATTCCCCATCCTCGAAAGTAGCCGGTCCTCTTTACAAACCCCACCCCCACTTTGTAAAGGCCAGTGCATGGATGAGGCAAAATGGCCTTTGCTTTATCAAAACTTCTTCTTTCAAGTGAATATTCTCATACTTATCAGCTCCAATTTCAAGGGAATCGATACTGTGCCGATGTGTGCACTTAAATTCATAACTTCAAACATCATTTCCTTTCCCATCAATTGGAGAGATCACCGTTTGAGCTTTTTGGCAATTATGTTTCCACATGAAGAAGAAAATGGGTAACTGCATGTCGACGTACAGAAATAATTATACGTACGTGAGAAAATTAGCATACACCAGTTTGATCCAACTGTTCGAAATTAAGCTGAGCACTGCATGCTCTTTTAACGTTGATTCCTTCCTTTAAATCACCGCAGGCAAAAAGCATCTATTACTGCGATTCAATCACACAGAAATATTAGGGGTTTTTAACTATAGGAATAGAGATTGTTGCAAATAAAACTATCGAGATATAGAAATAAAAATCCATAACTAAAAGTATAATTTGTTGATGGGCAAAGTATAGACTTCTCATAGGTACATGAGAGTATAATTACTAAATCGAAGATTCCAGCTTGATTTGTTTTATAGGGGTCGGCTGGGTGAGTGGAGCCTCCTATCTGTAACTTGTTCCCTGATCCATCCATTCAATACTTCCTCTGAGAGTAAGCCTTTTTATGCATTTCATTCACCACACACTGAAGCTTTCAAAAGAAAGAATGATACAGAAGGGAAAACGAGAGAGATGTTCAATGGAAGTAACCTAAGAGTGTATGTATGGCTAAGACCATCATTTTTGTCATTTATCCAGGGTCTATCCTCTCCTATATTTATCTTTTAGACCAGTTATGTGTATCTTGCTTTTTCGCTTGATC